GCTTGCAGGATCCTTGACCTCTCTGTCCTGAGCTCATCACCCCCAGCAGTCCATTTTATGCCCAGGCTGGGCTGAGAGTCCCAGTTCTCAGTGTTATCGTGCCCTGAACCTTCCCGAGATCAAGACCAGACTGGCACATCCCTGTGCCAGTTCTCTGACCCTCCAGCAACACCCGCGGCACTGGGATAACTGAGCAGGTGATGCCCCTGTAAATAACTAGCCCCAAATCTGCAATGTGCCCTTCCCGTTTGGACAAGCGGAGTGGAGCCCAACCTTAACGAACGTATTCAGAGCAGGCATGAAACCAGTCCCCTCCAAGGCGGAGCTGGGCGCAGGACACAGATCTGACGGCTGGGCAATATGACTGGTGAGGAGAGGCCGAGGGAACTGGGCTTATTCAGTCTGCAGAAGAGAAGGCCGAGGGGGATTAAATAGCAGCCTTCACCTCCCTGCCGGGGGACTGCAAAGAGGATGGAGCTGGGCTGGTCTCAGTGGGGGCAGACGACTGAAGGAGCAATGGGCTCAAGCTGCAGCAAGGGACGTTGAGGTTGGATATTAGGAAAAACTTTCACGAGGTGGGCAGTAAAGCACCAGAACAGGTTACCAGAGCGGTGGTGCAGTCTCCATCCTTGGAGGTTTTGAAGACCCGAGTAGACAAAGCCCTGGCTGGGATGATGCAGTTGGGCCAGGCCCCGCTTTGTGCAGGGGTTGGACTGGATGTGACCTCCTGAGCTCCCTTCCGGCCCTCATTGTCTGTGACGGCCGTGCGCACACACCGAAGCTGTCTTTCTGCCCAGTCCTCTTGGGTCTCTTCCCTAGAAAATGTCCGAGGCTGGGAAAGTGGTTTCTTTAATGGCAGAGCAGAGAACTGGCATTAGACCAGGGTTACTCCGGTGGGTGTTTCTCGAGTCCTTGTGTCTCCGGGATGCAGACCAGCTGTCTGAGCAGAGCCTGGAGGCTGTGATTGCTGCTGGTGTCTCTCCCCGGCACCCCTCCGGGACCGGGGGCTTCTGTGCATAGAGGGAGACTGAGAGGGAAGGTGCAGGCTCCCCAGTGCGGGGGTAAGGCCCATCTCCAGGAGCAAGATGTGCTCTGGGGAACGTCCCTCGAGTCTGCGCATCCCTTTGGACAGCACGGGAGAGCTGCGGCTTATTCTCTGCCTTTCTCTCTGCTGTTTCTAAAGCCTGGCCAGAAAGAAAGCTCTGAGACGGAGCCTGCTGCTGCCTGATAAGTTCTCCCCGGCCATGGGAAGCGATCGGATAAGCTCAGCAGATGGGACCGTTTCCAAGGAAGGGCGGCCTCCCCTCAGTCAGCCCGGGGGATGCTGCATAAAGCCTGGCCTCTGAGTCCAATGGCCACCAGAGATCACGCGGGGGCAGATGGGGACAGGGGAGCTTGGCCAGAGACAGTGCAACCGAGAGATGATACCCTGCGTCTGAGCCCCGGCAATGTCGGGATCTAACCAGAGCAAGGTTTCCTTGAAGTGTATAACTAGCCCCTGGCAACTGCAGCACGAAGCGAATGCAGGGAGTCTCCGTGTCTCTGCCGCTCGCTATTTCCTCTCCGGCCACCCCGTGTTGTGCGCGTTTGCTTTCCCGGCCCCAGCTCCCGGAGTCTTGTGAGCACACGGGAGTATCGCCTTGCACGTTTTTTTCTAGCCCTCCTGTCCCAGGGAAGCGTCCCGGAGCGGGCGGCAAGGCCTGCAGAGAGCAGCCTCCGTCCATCCACGAGGGCTTTGTGGGTTTTTCTTGGGAGACGACTATTTTTTTTCCTTTTTTTTTTTGGCAACCATAAATAACATCTCTCCCCACCACAGCCAATCCGGCGGGTAGAGAACGAGCGATAGACCCATGTCCTGGACGTTTAAACAAAGGCAGGAAAGAGGCAGGGGGGACCGAGCGAGAGGGAACAATGCCACATTGGCGGGGACTCGTTAGGACGCTGCCTCCTCCTGCCTGTTCTCGCGAAGAAGAAAGAATAGAAGCCTTTGAGGCCAGGGTTTATTTTTAAACGCCTGAAAGGGCCTGACGCAGAAGGGGGAGTGGAAAATACGAGTCCGGCATCGACAAAGTTCCTCTGAGCTGCCTTTGAAGCCGGCGCGCCAGCCTCTAATTGCTGTGGGTGTTTGGGGGTAAGGGCTCGGGACAGCGCGCCGGGTGGGGGATGCGTCGTCGGCGTTGCCTTCACGTCTCCGTTGCAGCAGGTTGTTTTACTGCCGGGCAGTGCTCCTCTTCCTCCAGAAGTCCCCGTCTCCAGCACTGTTGCAGTGCAAGGGCTCAGCCGTCGTGGTCTGGGGTAACGCTGCCGTAGGTCCGCCCGGCTGCTGCTCCTAAATGCACATCGCCTGCCGACCCCGGAGTCCTCTGCCCCCATCTCCTGCTCGTCTTACTCCCCTGAGTAGCCCTGTTTCAAGAGGGCTTGGTCTTTCGGCTCTAGCACGCATAGTGACATAGCATCTGAATACTCCCTAGTTCGCTCCTGCGGCCGTACGGCTGAAGGCAAGTGAAATTTCAGGGGCACCCAAACCCCTTGGGCCTGCATGTAGGATGCCTGCCAAAAGATTTGGAAGTCACTGAAGCCCCAGGCTGGGAAGTTTAGGGTGGAGGATGCTTGCCGGTAGTCAGGCCACGTGTGGTTCTTGAGCAGTTGAAGGAATTTGGACCTGGCACACGAAACATTTTCCTTAAAAATAAAAAAAATACAATAAAAAACCGGGAGGCGGGTGGGCTTGGCTTTCAGAGCCTGCATCTCAGGAGGGATCGTGGCTGCTCCCGGCCCAGTGTCTCAGGACAGGACGCCGGCACGGAGGAGCCCTTTGCTGTCCCTCCTGCATCCCATCAGCGTGGCACATCTGTTGCTCCCATTTGCTATCCTAGACCCCAGGGCCCCAGTCAGGATCTGAGTGTCCGCTGTGCTAGGCACTGTACAGCACCGCAGCGCTCTTTCCTCTGCAGCACAGGGCACGGTTCACGTCCTAGGTGCGTCGGGGGCAAACCCCACCTGCCTGCACTCTGGTCTCCCCAGATCTCTTCTCACGGCCCGGCGCAGGGTCATTGTTATCTGCTGTGGTGCATGGAGATGGTCTGGAAACCAGCTGTCCGAGGGCTCACCCAGGAACACGGGACAGGCTCCAGTGGCTCTGGTGCCGTGTATCTCTGCCCGGGTACCTACAGGAAATGTCCTGGGCACATCCCGTCGTTGCACTTAGGGCTGCTTCAAGGGGTCCGGGCACCTTTTTTTGTCCTGCCCAGCTGTCTCAAGCTGCTGCTCTCCGCTCTCTTCCCGGGTCCCAGGAGTTGCACTTGGCAAAGGTCTGAGGTTCCCCCGCTTCAAACTCCAGCAGCGTCAAGCAGACCCTGGAGCTGGATGGAAAGAGCAGCTCCCTCTAGGGCGGTCGCGGGGGCTTGGTCCCATCGGGTCAAGGCTGAAGTGCTCGGTGGAGCCTGGCACTGATTGATTGGGCTTGTGTGGCAGCTGGGAAGCTCCTTGCAGGTTTGTTGCATGGGTCGTGCCTATCGCCCGGGGATGGGTGAAGCGCGCCCGCCGTTCCCTGATCTGTGCAGGTGTCAGCCAGGCTTGCTCTCTCCTCTCGTCATTCAAACCCGGCCCCTTTTGCTTGGCTGAGGGACCCGTCACCAGTATTTCTGGGGGGCATCGCACAGACAGCGGCTGGTGTGGGACGATGTGAGCGCCCGGGTGTTGGCGCCCGGCTGTTTGATCTTACAGGTGCTCTGTGCTGTACACAGACCCCTCTGCCTCCCGAGTACCTTTGCCCTGCCAGGCTTGCTGTGCCAGTGCATCCGTGATGCTACCCACGCAGCGCCTTGCCCTCTCTCAACCCTTTCCCCCTTGCTCTGTGCATTTGCTTTGCAAATTCCCTGGCTGCTCATCACAAGCAGCCTGGGGCATTGGCACGGGGGCTCTTCCTGCAGCTGCCAAGCTCCTGCCCCATCCCCTGCGGGCACCTCCTCCCTTTGTGGGGAGAAGCGGCTGGAAAGCGCAGCAGCAGGAGGGAGCGCAATGCGGTGCCTGGCACCCGAAGGGCTGAGAGTGCAGAATGCAGGGGCCTTCTGCGCTGGGCGCGTTATTCTTAGGTGCCTGCTTGCCTGTGATGGGGGTGTTGGGTTTCAGGGACTTGTTTATGCCAGAGCCGGAGGAGGCTGGGGGCTGCCACGCTGCCCTCCAGGGAGCCCTGCAGCGAAGGGCGCACAGGGAATGGGAGTGGGTAGATGGCTGCAGCGCTGGGCGCAAGCCAGGAGAAGAGCCCCGCATCCCCTGCGCCCCCTCTCCGGGTCCCGGAAGGAGCAGCAATGCCTTCGGCACCTGGCTGCTTAGCACGGGGCCGCTCCCTTCCATCCCCGCAGGTCCCGTTCGGAGCCACGCTCCCCCGACGGAGGATGCATCACATGAGATCCTCGCGGGACACGGACCTGCTCGGTGACTGCACTTTTTCCACCCCGTGTGACTGCATTTCCCCTTCCCAACCCCTTTTTCCCAGCTTACCCCACCGTCCCGGCTCTACACCCCTCTGACCAAGCACATGGAGTGGCTCAGGCCGGGGGGTCATCCCATCACTTACCCAGGCCGCGGGGCTGTCCCCTGTGCTGCCCCCAGCAAGCCGGGCTCTGACTGTCAGAAGCAGGTGAGGGCCCCGGGCATGTTTGTCTTTGCAGCGGCGGGAAGAGGTGTCGCCACCGCTTGCAAAGTCAGTGCTATTAATATCAGGTAATGAGCATAATCTCTGGGTTCGGTTATCCTCTTATGCCTGTCGGCTGCTCCGGGACACCGCCGCGCACCTCCCGTTTGCTCTTTCACTCCTCGCTCAGTTCTCAGCCCTGCACTCGCACGCCAGGTCCCAGCAGCCAGCCATGCCGCACGCCCCCCTCCAGCCTCCCTGCCCGTAGGGACCGGCCCTCCGCATGGCCCGGGTTGACCCGGTCCCTTCGCTCGCGTGGCAGCCCTGCTGCAATGTTAGTGCCTCGCAGGCAGGGATGAGACGGCGACCTGCAGACTGCGCCGCACCTGAAACTCCTGCACCCGGGACCGCCTGGTTCTTCTGAGGCAGAGCGAGATGAGCAGCCCCCCGACGTACGCGGGGGTCCGGATATCAGGCTGCTGGGCCCTGGGGGCTGAAGGCAGGTGAGTGTCCTCCGTTGCACGCTTGCATTTGTTTTCCCTTCCTGTTGCCTTGCAAATGAGTCTTCGGCTGTGTCGGAGCCAGAAGCACCGGGGCTGTTCATCCCGGCTGGTACTCGGGAGGCAGCTGGAGAAAGATCGGCCTCCCCCAGGACGCGGGGTGAACACAGCTCCAGTGTCCCTGCTCTCAGCTGGCGTCCCGAAGCTTAGGGCAGCGTGTTGCAAATGGAGATCAGGCCCTGGGGTGGGGGGATCTGGTCATTAATTCACTGGCCTTGCATCCAGGTGCAGGGGGTTTACCTCTCTTGGCTGCTTGGGGAGCAGGGGAACATTGCTGCATGACTTCTGACAGTCTGACCTCCTGGGGGTTGTCCTCGCTGACTTCCACCCGCCGCTCATCTCCTGGCCGGGGGGTGCTCTGTGCAGGGACCGCCTGCATCGCAGGTTGGCTCCCTGATGGTGGGTAAATGCAAGCAATGAAGAAAAAGCTCCTGTCACATGTGCCCACGACTCGCCGTGCCAGGCAGCCTGGAGCTCCCAGACCAGGATGCAACAGGATGCTTGTCTTCGGGCCCGTTAACGTTTCCCCTCTGGAGCCCTTGGATAAGGTGGCAGGGCTGTCAGGAAGGGCAGAGTTTAGCCTGGCCGCTTGCATGGAGGAAGCGATGTGCTGAAGACAGGGTGGCATCCCAGCTCCAAAGGCAAAGCCCCCACTGAGTCCAGTGAAACCACGATTACTCCCCCAGTATAACGTTTTCCCTGGGCTCTCAGCAAGACTCGGGCTTCTCGGTCACACACGTGCATTTGGAGGTCTTACCTGCAGCAGCACGTCACCACGGGGAAGGACCCCCGTGCAGCCCCCATAAGGGGCACCAACGCTGGGCTGTCGCAGCACGATTGAAACAACGGGCTCCTCCGGGTGCCTCGGCCAGGAGCTGCAGCTTGGCTCTGGGAAGGGCTATGCACTGCTGGCCTGCGGCGCTGGGACAGCAACTGAGAGCCCAAGTGCAGACCATTGGGTTTTGAACTTGCAGGATGCTCTCGTGCTCCCCGTGGGTCCCTGACACCCTTCCCAAAGCCCCCAGAGCCAGGCGAGGGGGCTGTCCTGCAGCCCCTTCTCCTCGGACATGTCCTCTCCGACGCCAGGGGAGCAGCACTCCTCTCACAAGCAACTTTCTGCACCAGATCCAGTCTCTCCAGAAACTCGCCTCCCAATTTCCCCTCCTAATAATACAAAATATGAGTCGCCTCCTTTTTTTTTATATAAGCACCTGTTGATGCAGGCACAGTCATCAGCACAGAGCTGAATGCGGCCCCTGGCGTGCAGAGTAAAGTCGTGTGCGTTCAACTTTGCCGCTGTCTCCCTTGGCTTATGTTGGTGGTGTCTAGAGGGGCATAGATTCATAGACAGGTCCCAGCTGAGACGCTGGCCCCATAGGTTGCAGGCTTTTGGGGTAAGGACCCTCTTTTTTGTTCTGCTACCTGAGCACTTCTTAGCCCAGTGGAGTCCAGCTCCAGGATAGGGGTCCCTGGGTGCTTCTCCAAGGCAATCAAATCATCGTGTTATCATTGCAGGGCAAGTCGGCAGGGTTGTATCGCAGTGCAGTCCCTCATTGACCTACTGACCTGGAAAAGACAATGGAGCCAACAAAAGACATGATCTAGGAGCCGTCAGGGCCTGGCCAGGGCTGTGGGGCAGCAGGAGAGCGCTGGGGCACTCCCAGCAAACCACAGGATCATAGAAAACGAAGGGTGAAGGGAGCTCCGGAGGTCACGTCTCGTTCAAAACCCTACTCCAAGCAGGACCAGCCCCAACTAGACCATCTCAGCCAAGTCTTTGTCAAGCTGGGCCTTAAAAGCTTCCAGAGATGGAGATTTCACTGGCAAATGTGGCGATAAATGATCTGAGCAGCCTTAAATGATCTTTGCCAGCCCCAAAACCCACTCTGAGCAGCGTGCATCCGAGTAAGCAACTCCTGTGGAAATCCCCCCCTGAGGCATGGATGGCAGCAGTCGCGCTGCGCTGCAGAAGTATCTGGGTAGGGAAATAAATGGCAAGCCAAGGGGAGGCAGATGGGAACCAAGGCTGGCAGTCCCAGGGGATCCCTCGAGGTGATGGAGAAAGAGAGAATAGCGAGGTCTAAACTTGCAGGGGTGGCCACTAATTGTGGCTACAATCTAATTGACCCCGGGGCAGATTTTTCGGAGTAGCTCACTCCACCCAAACTCCAGGGGAAGCCACTTCTGAAAGCTGGGGCCACCCATAGGTTTAAAAAGCCAGAGACTGAGGCCTGGCTGCCCCCTCTGCCACAGACCCCCAGTGTGACCTCGGGCAAGTCACTTGATGCCGTTCTGCAGCGTCCGTGCAGGTAGGTCCACGGAGGTTTTTAAATCCCAGCTTGACAAAGCCTTGGATGGGGTGATCTAGTTGGGGCTGGTCCTGTTTGGAGCTGGAGCTTGGACTAGACGTGACGTCCTGAGCTCCCTTCAATCCTCATTTTCTATGATTCTCTGGGTAGCAAGATCCCGGCACTCAGGCTGGCCTGGGTCCTCATCCTGGGTAGTAGTCGTGCTTTGGGATGGGGCTGCACTGGACACGTGTGACAGCCCTCCCCTGACGTGCTGGCCGGCTCCATCCCCGAGCTGGAGACGCCTGCTCGCAAGCGGGATCACTGATGTGCATCGGGAACTCGCAAGCGAGAAGGGCTTCGTGTCGCCGACCTCCTGCCCCTGCCTTTGCTAAAGCTCCCCGGGCGCAGCAGCCCCGTTCCCCAGGGGCTGGAGCTGGGAATGCAGATGAAACGAGCCATTTATTTCCTGGTAAATAAGAACAGCGTCTGTCATCTCGGCTCCCATCGAGCGACCGTGACTTTGTTTACGCACCCGCCGCCGCCTCTGATGTCAGCCCCGCCGTGGGGATCGTGCGCGCTGGTTAATTGATGCTGTTGAGCCGCAGGAGGGAGAGCAGAGCAAAATACCCGAGCTGTTCGTTCTTGCTTTTTCCACCGTCTCTGGGCTGGAAGGAGCTCGCTTGCTGCTGCTCGCGCAGAGAGAAAGTCCAGAGACCTTTCCGTGATCAGGTTTTATTAGTTTGTGGCTGTGTCCAGAGCCCCTGTTGTACACGGGCAGCCCCCAGGACTCGGATCCTGCAAGAAGAGGTGTGTGACGAGACCCCCGCACCTGCCAGGAGCTCCGTAGGACGGGGCTCAGGGGCTGGGCACAGTGCTTGCTTGGGGGGGAAGCAGATGGCACAGGCAAGGTAGGACTGCAAACCCTGCCTGTGGGTGTGAGGGTACGTCCCAGGGCTAGGCCTGCCCATGCTAGCTACCGTGGCATGGTGTACGCCCCAGGCTAACGCACTGTGCTCAGCGCGGCTAACTCCCTCGGACAGAGTTGCACAGACATTGCAGAACTGCATCAAGTGACTTGGCCGAGGTCACCCTGGGGGTCTGTGGCGGAGGGGGCAGCCAGGCCTCCGTTTCTGGTTTTTCAAAGACAGGCCAGGGGAGGGGAAAGCCCAATGCAGTTAGTGGCAGGGAAGGCTTATGAGCCAACAGGGCCCTTCGGCTCTCCAGAGGACTTGGCAAGGGCCCCATGGCATGAGTCTGGGCGGATGAGCGGGCCCTTCAACCTGCCCTGGCCGTGTGTTGGGGTCAGGGGTGGAGGTGGTGGATGTCAGGCTGTGCAGATGATCTCTCTAATCCCTTGGCCAGGCGCCTGCCACGGCTGCAGCTGTGCTGCTCCAGCAGGATTCGATAGGGCAGGGGGGTCGTGTGGGGGGAGCGATGCAGAGCATGGGATCCCCCCTAGTCCTCTGCTCGGAGGATGGTTCGGGGAGGGCAGACGCTCTCTTGGTACGGCCAGCCCAGCTGCAGACTCACCAGGGCAATGAGGACAGGGCTCGGCTTTCCCGCACCCCATCTCCCTTCATGCCCAGGACACCTCTGCCAAGGGGGTGTGCTGAGCCTGGCTCCCCGCCTGGCCTGGCACCGTCGTTCTCCCCTTAGGTGCCTTTAAGAGGCGTAACGATCCCACTCACACCTGCAGCAAAGAGCGAGCAGGAGCAGGGAGCCCGAGCAAACAGGATCTGATATAAATAATCTCTTCTGTCCCCGCTTTCGGCCAGCGGCAGCTTATCTCCTGGCCCCGGGCCATCGAACGCCTCCCGGGCCTCTGCTCTGTGCCGCCAAGCACGAAAGGGCTCTGGAAGGTGGCTCGTCCCCTGCTGTCCCTGCCTCCCTGCCCTGGGCTGCAGCATCGGGTCACGTGGGCAAGAGGTGCTTAGTGGCATGGTGCTGGCTGCTCCAGGCCAGGGCAGTCCTCCAGGTACCAGAGCAGCTGGAAAGGCGCTGGCTGCCTGGTTTTCAGAAAACAGCCCATTGCTCTGTGTCCTGGGACTGGCATGGAGGCTCCCCTTCCTGCCTCCCCAGGGACCCCCGTGCTGGGGTGTGCGAGCGGGCTTCCACTGATATGGCCAGGACCCATTGCAGACGGCCCTCGGCATCGTGCTGAGGTTGGGCAGGGGGTGCTCCTTGTTCCCAGCTCAGCGGCGTTCAGTCTGTCGTTAACCCGAGGGCCCGTTTCCAATTCCGGCTGCACCCGACAGCTCTCGGGGCCAGGCTGTCAGGTGAGGAGTGCCCGGGACGCCTCCGTTCCAGGTGACCAGGTGTCTCCATCTCTCCCCTCCTAGCCACAGCAGCGCAGAATCCCTGGACAGACTCTACCCCCCGGTAGCGCCCACGCGGCCGCCCCGGAAACGGACCACCAGCCAGTGCAAGTCCGAGCCCCCGCTGCTACGAACCAGCAAAAGGACCATCTACACGGCCGGACGGCCGCCGTGGTACAACGAGCACGGGGCGCAGTCCAAAGAGGCCTTTGTCATAGGTAAGCACGTGTCTGGGGCACCTCTGCAGCTGGGGGCCGCGTGCGTGGACCACCAGCTCGTGGCTGGGACAGGGACCGCAACGTACCTTGGCAGACAGCCCTTTGCAAGCTCGCATCTGTTGGAGCTGGCTCTTTTCCCAGCGCGCTGCACTGCCCCGCCAGGGACAGCCTGCACCCACGTGTGTTGCCCAGTTTCCCTTGGCCAGCCCGCAGGGTGGAACGGGTGCTCCTTCGGGTCCTCTTCCTCTGATGCAGGGCCACGGGATGGGGGGCAGGTCTGCAGCTCCACAGGTTGGCAGGGCCGTGGTGACCCCGAGATGTAGGTAGAGTGGGGTGGGCTTGATGCATCGAGCCCGTCCGCTGTTATCTGATTTTCCCTATAACAACACCTGCAGACTCAGGCCAAGTCAGGGGTGTACACGCACCTAGCGAGGGACTCTCCCTGCTCCAGCGGGCTCCCCCTCCGAATAGAGCCGGGATTGGGGCTGCCTCTCTGAATCCCATCTGGAGATAGCAATGGTCTCCTGTTGGCACACAGGTGCTTGAATGGGCTTGTCCTGCATTTCCAAAGCTGCGCAGGCTGGTTCAAACGTCAGCTGCCCTCCAAAGGGAGGACGGGCAGGATAGGCCTCGCCATTCCCACTCGGTCAGTGCCGTGTCTCTCATTCGCGCTGCTAGCATCTGCCAGCTGCATCCAGTAGATTTTCCCAGGTTTCCTCCTAGCACAGCCAAGGGCAGCCAGATCTGCTGGCAGTAGCTGGAACAGGCAGGGCAGGGCGCAGGTCTTGGTTTTACCTGGCCCTGTCTCTCCCCCTCTGCCAGGTCTGGGCGGGGGCAGCGCCTCCGGAAAGACCACGGTGGCCAGGATGATCATCGAAGCCCTGGACGTCCCGTGGGTGGTGCTGCTCTCCATGGACTCCTTTTACAAGGTGAGGCTGCTAGCTGCTCTGCACCCCGGGCACAGCCCGTCCCCATTCACCGCCGTAGGAAAGGCTGATGCCCTGGGTAGAGGACCAGAGGGCACACGGGTACGGGACCTGCGCTAGGACGGTCTACACTGCAGTCGAGGGTGTAGCTGCAGCTTGTACAGACGCACACGAGCTGGCTTGAAACAGCATAGCTCAGGTCTGAGTTGCAGGGGCACCGATTTCAGCACCTCCTGGGCCCCCAGGTATGTCATCAGGTGGCTGCAGCCCGTGCTGTGGGTGCCTGAGCCAGCACCGTGCAAGGTGTCCCATGAACTGAGAGCAGAGGAGGTGGCCCCGTGGATCTCTGGCTTGGTGGTCTGGCCAGCGCTGGTCTTGGGTGCAGGTGTTCACATGGGCAGGGCTTGGCAATATCCTTGCCCCGCTCCCAGCTGCTCTCTCGGCGTGGCCGTGACCTTGGCGGGGTCTGTTGTCTCCGGCAGGTGCTCACCAAGCAGCAGCAGGAGCAGGCGGCCCACAACGACTTCAACTTCGACCACCCCGATGCCTTTGACTTTGACTTGATCATTGCCACCCTAAAGAAGCTCAAGCAGGGCAAGAGCGTGAAGATCCCCATCTACGACTTCACCACCCACAGCCGGAAGAAGGAATGGGTGAGGAGGGGCCACGGGGCTGTGGGGGCACACGGCTGGGAGATGGCAACTGGCTTGTGTCTTTAAAATCAAAGCCCTGTCCTCTCAAATGCTGTCGATGGAAACCCCGAGAGGTGCCGGGAAGCACTGCTGCAAGGGGAATGCCACCGTGCATGGAGAAGCTCTGAGTGCTTCTCGGTGCATACCGGGGAGTGGGCGACGGCACCATCTCGTGTCTGACACGGGAAAAGGGACATCCTTCGCCACATTCAAGCAGAAGGCAGGGTAAATTTGCACCTTGTAGACCAACCAAACTGAATGTGTATGTAGCACAAGCTCTCATATGGAAAGTGCCCTGCAAGGGAAGTTCTCCAGCAGCTGCAGCGATAAAGCCAGGGGTTTTGGAGCTGGTGGAGAGGGATTCCCAGGGGCAGGCGTGCATGGTGCAAGCTCCAGCACTGACCCCCACATGCAACCCCGTCTCTAAAAATGTTCCTGTGCCCCGGGCAGCCCCATGTGTCTGAGGAGTCCTCAGCCTAGGGGATGTATCTTTTAAGGGCTGGACCCAAGGGCAGAGCTCACAGGAGCCAAGACCGACGGCATAGGGGGCACAAGAGACCGTCAGCAGCCTCCCTTGTGCCCACTCACTGTTCCCTGGCACCGTGGACGATGCCACTTCTTCCTCTGCCTTTATCAGCTCTTTCTCACATGCAGTATTTTTTTCCCTTTCTATTCTCTTTCCCACCCACTTTTCTCTAACCAGTTTCCCTCTTTTCCACCCCAGAAAACCCTCTATGGTGCCAACGTGATTATCTTTGAAGGCATCATGGCATTCGCGGACAAGGAGCTGCTGAAGGTGAGGGAGGGATCAGATGCAGGACCTCGGGCGTCCTGCTGCTGGGACCCACGTCCTTCTCTGTGGGGGAGCATAGGCAAGCTCAGCTTAAGCACCTCCCCGTGCGCACGGCCCAGAGGAAGGAAGGGAGGGTCAGATCTTGCCCCTGATGTCCTCTGCGGCATCAGATAGGGTTTCTTGCAGTGAGTCTATTCTTGATGCTAGCAGTATTTTGCTGTCTGGCTTAAATAAACGTAATCTGCCAAAGCCAACTTGAAGGGCATTGGAAAAACCTGGGGTGGAAGCACCAGCCCTTCTGCAGAGACTTGGGGAGCTGGTCCTGAGTGGAAATGAGTTTAAGGGGCATGATGCAGCTGCCCATAAGTGCTACACACAGTAGCACACACGAGGTGCTGCGCTGTGGACGTTTTGGTGAGGACGAGCATGTCCAGCCCCTGCAGGCTCTTCTGCCTCTTACCAATGCCATACGTCCCTGTATTTTTTGAGCCTGGACACCATAAATGAACAATGTAACGTGAGAGCAAGAGCCGCACGCAGCCCCAAAGGCCTCAGCCACACTTAATCCCAAACTTTCCCTGTCTTGCCAAGCATGCGCTCGTGTCCTGCTCGTGTGGAGCAAGGATGACCTCCAGTGGTCAGCTGGGCACATCTCAGGAGCGGAGGGAGATCTGGTTGGCTTGTCCTCAGAGGATTAAAACCGCTGAGGGCAACTTGCTGGGTTTGGCCAGTTTCCACATTAATGCACCAGCTCTTGCCAGTTTGATGCTAGTGCAAGCGAACGTGTCTGCGTCCTGGTCACCGGCCACTCTCGTCCGCCCTCGCCTCTGAAATTTTAGCCCAGGAAAGACCAACTAGTGGGATCTGCTGGTAAAAGGGAGTTTGGGAGAGGACTGGATCTCTGTAGGCATCAAATAACCAGGTGAATTCCTTCTGCTGAGATGCAGGGAGTGAATTGCCAAGCAAGCTGGAGGCTTAGTGCAGCCTGCCGTCAGCTCCAGGGCCAGCGAACTCCACTGGCTCATGCTGGGCTTTGCCAGGAGTTGTCCTGTCCTGGTTTGCCTGACCCCGGGGAGCCACGGTGCCTGAACTCACCCAGTCACTCCAACCGCGTCCTGTTCATAACGAGAGCAGCCTCCGCTCCATTGAGCGGCAGCTGCTTTGGAAGCAGGTCCTCCATAGCACCCCATGGGGTGAGGAAACGCTCAGTGCTCAGGGTGCTGGGCCCCTCTCATTCCAGCTCCTGGACCTGAAGATCTTCGTCGACACGGACTCGGACATCCGCCTGGTACGGCGCCTGCGCAGGGACATCAGCGAGCGCGGCCGGGACATCGAGGGCGTCATCAAGCAGTACAACAAGTTCGTCAAGCCAGCCTTCGACCAGTACATCCAGCCCACCCTGCGGCTGGCTGACATCGTCGTGCCCAGAGGTACCCGCCCACCATCGCTGTGCTCTTGGGGTGTGATCTCAGCCCCAGCCCTTTCCCCCACTACCACCTCTGCCCCAGCTGGCAGAGTTGCATTCCTGGGAGCTGAGAGTCCTGTGCCCCCAGGTCTGTCTGCGGGCAGGTAACAGGGCAGGGGCTGGGTGGATGGGGCTGCCCTGGTGCTACCTTTGCTTTGTGACCTGCCATTCAGTGTCTCCCGCCGGGTCCTGGCACCCACGTCTCCCTGAGTGTCAGCCGTGGGGGACGTGGCAGAGAAGGGACTCTGAGACCTTGGCCAGCCCCATCCCTCGGCTTCATCCCGGGTCTCTCATTCTCGATGCGCTGCAGGTAGTGGGAACACGGTGGCCATCGACCTGATCGTGCAGCACGTCCACAGCCAGCTGGAGGAGGTGAGGGCTGCGTCGGGAGGCGCCGGCTGGGCTCTGGTGCCAGGAGCCAGCAGCACGAGTGCTGAACTCCCGGTGGCGCTGGGCAGGGCACAGGCAGGCAGGGATGTGCTCTCTGCTGCGCTGCTCCATGTGTGCGAGCAATGAGGAGAAGGATGCAGGGTTCCTGACTCCTAACTTGCTCTTGTCGTAGTCTTTCTCCCCCATATCCATGCCCTGACCATTGCCCCTTGGGCAGTGCAGGGCACATACCCACAGGCCCCTGCTGCCCACCCAGCCCTGCCTCTGCCTCTGGCATGCAGCAAGCCCTGTTCCAAGGGCAGCAGCCTTTCCTCTGGCCTCAGAGACTGCAGCAGGGTAGGGTGGAGGTGAGCTACACCCCAGCAGCCAGCCCCTGCCCCCACATCCATCAATACCACCAACATCCTAGTCCATTTGCCAGCCCCTAAGGAGCTAAATGCAGCTCAGAGGGCAGGACTGCTCCAGGGCATCACGCCTGAGGAGGCACCGTGGCTCGGCACAGGCCTGCTCAGCCCTCTATAGCTTCAGTGAGTCTGTAGCCTCCCCACTGGGCTGTCCTGGCTCTGGGCAGTGAGTTCAGCCCAGGGGAACGGTGGATGCGCCCTGCCTGCTGTGGTTCTCGGCTTCTCTCGCTGATCTTGCCACTGCCGTGCCGGGCTTCCCAATGCATGAGTTAACCTGCAAAACCTAAAAGCTCGCCAGCTACTAACCTGCAGGCAGGGGCCCTCGTGCCTTCGGATTTCAGTGTTGGAAGCCATGTGCCATTCAACATGCCTGTCACGTGCAAGAAAGGCAAATGCACTTGGAAATGGAGCTGGTCACTCCTCTTGGCCTTTGGATGTGCACAATGGCCATCATGCCACCCATAAATCCCGTGCCTTTAGCTGCGTGCAGTAGACCACATGATAACAGAGACTGCTCTGTTATTAGCACGTATTCAAAGCACGCACCTCCAAAAGTTTCCCCTTGCCCTCGAGTTCAGAGGCGCGGCCTTCTGCCTTCCTGCAAACAGCCATTTATCAGGCTGAGATATGGGCAGGGGGCAATTTCCCATGGAAGCATGAGACCCTGCTGTAATATCAGAAGACTAATTTGTATGTAAAGCGAGCCAGGCCACATCTTGGCAGCCTCTGGTCCCTGTCCATGCAGGTGGAAGGGCTTCTGCTTCTTCCAGCATTGGCGCTCGAAAAAGCAAAGCTCCCACTACACATCATAGCCAGGGAGAAGTGCAGGTGCTTCCCTGAGGAAATCCAGAAGGGTTGGGCCCAGAGGCTTTTTTTTTTTTTTAGTTTGGTGGGAGGGGAAAAAAACGAATGTGAATGCAGGATATTATTCCTTTTTCCCTTTTTTGTCTTTAAATGTCCCTGGTGTTGGCAATGCTTAATACCGGTTGCGTTGTCTTGCGTGTTGCTGCTGCAGCGTGAACTCAGTGTCAGGTAAGAGTTCTTCTAACACCGTCCTGTCTCTGCAACCCAAGGCGTTTCCAATGCCACACGCTGCTTGACCCGCACTGTCCGTGACCCGCAGTTCGAATCCAGTAGCTTCCCCGAGGCGAGATGCCACTTGGCTGGTAAATCTTGCTCTTTACCCCCAGCTCCAGCCAGGAGGGGGGTATTTTAACCGTGGGCATGTCCAGGTTACAGTGCCAGGGGTCACATGTGATGTGGCCACAGACCCTTAGAGTGGGAGCAGAGTTGCAAGGCAGGGATTTGCAAAGTGTGTGAAGCTTGTGAATGGGGGTGGGTTTCCACCTGAATTTAATTGTATTTCTTCGTCGCTGTGGTGAAAGGTATCTTAAGGCCACCTTCATCTAAGCAGGCACTTGTAAACCCAGGCCACAAAGCATTTAAGCTGACCCATCACCATGCTTTAAACCTAGTTCCCGGAAGACACCCAGCATAGGGCACCCCACTTAGCCACAGGTATAACATCACCACAATTGGAGCATACGTGTTTCTACATAGGGAAATCCATGCTTTCCTCCAGCGGTCTGCATGGGAAGGCAGGTGATGCAGCAATTACTTTGGGAAAGCCTTGCTCCAAAGGGGTTTGCAGTTACTAAATAGCCACAGGTGTTTGTAACAGGAAGCCTTGAGCGATGCTCTCGGCATCTCGCTTCCAGCCAGCTAAGATATCAAATCTTTTTTTCTAGGAAGCAAAGGGTTTTGTAGCTGCGAATGCGTTCCCATTTTAGATGTTGTCTGTGTCTAATGAGACACTGAAGGCTCCTAAAATTTGCGTTTGGCATAAAAAAGAAAAGGCTTTAAAAAAACAAACAGACAAAAGCTTAAGGTACTTAGGAAAGCTGCCATGATTTTCTTTTCTTTTTTTTTTTCCTGAAGACAGTTAAGTTCAGGCAGCGAGCTGGATCTCTTCGGTTCCCACCATCTTAGCATGTGAAATGTTGTGCGGCTGGGTAACACTGTGCATTTTGCACTTGGAGGAAGAGTCAGGTTTGAACACGGTTAAAAGGGACAGGCGTAGACACCGGCCTGTCTGCTCAAAAATCTGAGGTTGAAAATTTGGCATAGCCTGGGGCTTTTCAAGCTGCTGATGTCCTTCAATCCGAAGCAGCCCCCAGTAGACTTCACCTTGTCTTTCCCGTTCCTTGAAAATCAACAGTTGAGTGGCATAGCGGTGACCCAGTGCTAATTTTCTTTCGATAAGAGCAAAATTTGATGCGGTCACGCCTTAAGCGCATACCTATCTGCACAATAACCTCAGCATTTGAGCAACCTGTGAGTCCTTATCATACGCTGCAATCGAGGCTTCCAGTTTTAACTGATGCTTTCTGGTCAAATTCTGAAAACCTGAAGGCCAAGAACTGGGATGTGCTTGCAGTTAGGTATCTGAACTGAAGATAAGGGTGCTGCCCTCCGAGGGCAGGTACCCATTAAATAGTGGGACGGGATGTAAAGGGTGAGACAGGCCTGGAAACCTGGGCTTTTTACCTGCACTAATTCCTTTTGTAATGGCTTAAAAGTCTGTTGCTCAAATGCCAGGGCCATTCAGAGGCTCAGGTGAGGAGGTTGTATGTAATCCGCAGCTGGGAGAGAGAGACGCAGCTCTCAGACATGGGCACAGGCTAATTCACCTTCCAGCTAGAGGGCAGGCAACTGGATAGGAACCCGGATCCTCACTTTTTGGCTTGAATATTGCTCTAGCACTTGGCAAAGGGACTAGAGAGAGTCAGGAGAGAGAGAGCTGCTGGCAGCAGAGCGTGCGAGGGGAGGCAGGTTTCTGGGGCGAGCTGGGTGTTAATAGGATGCCACTAAATCATCGCACATTGGAAGGAAATGGTCATCTCCGGACCCAGGTTGCTTCACTTTTCGCTTGTCCGCAGCTGCGTGGGGCCAGCCCCGTGCCGTCACCTGGGCCGTCCCCATTAAAGCCAGGCAGGTACTTAGACGGCAGGGCATGCTCTGGACCCAGCAGCGCCTTCGCATTCCCCCCGGCCTCCACGTGGCTGGAGAAGCCGTCTCTCGCCCTCTGAACCTAAGCCCCCACATCCCACCCCTGATCTGCAGCCCCTGAACATGCCCTTTGCCAACCGTGCCTTTAAATATCAGGCCGCGGCGTGGCTCTAATAGCCCCGCTTGGAAATGTCAGGGCGAGAGCCAGCTGCCGGGTGCGTTTGAAATGCCTTGGCTGCATCAGCGGCTTTGTAGCTGGGAGTCTCTTGTCTGCTTCCTGTTTGATTGCACGCACGAGAAAGAGCTGCCGATATTCGGTGCCTTTCTGCCAGACGGACACCCCCCTTCTTTCTCTCTCTCTTTCTTTCTTTCTTTCTTTTCTTTCTCCTTTGAAGCTTTTGTTCTGGGTGGTGGAGGGGGAGAAGTTTCCAACATGAGACGTTTCCTTGACGTGCTTGGGGCTGCCTGTCTGAATTTTCCATTGCTGGCCAGCCACAGCAAAGCCGTGGGGGAGAGGCAGGAAACCCAGCTCACCTGCCTTCTGCCTTGAGGGCTTGATAACGCAGGGAGAGGTGCTTGCAGGCCCCTCCGAGCCTGGTCTGGTGCAGGCACTTGACCACAGGGGCTGAGCGATACCCCGGGTCCTTGTCAGGCTGATGGTACGAGATGCAGACGGGCTGTCTGCAACACGCTGCCTCTTCCGGCACGAGCTCTCTGCAGCGGGTCAGGCCGCGGCCTCTCCCCGGGGCCACGCGGCGTTCCCGCCGGGCTCGGGTCAGCTCTGTGGGACGCGGGCACCTTGACCGGAGCTGGGACCTGAGCCTAGGCTCCTCTCCCGCTGCAGCCTTGGCACCTCTCAGATTGCACCTCTGAGTGTGGGTACCAGGCACCAACTTGGCAGATGCTTGCCTGGGTCCTTCCCCAATCCCCCCCGTGACAGCCGTGATGTGTCTCCCACCCGAGGGGATGGACTCGCTGCCCACAGCAGCCACCACCAACCATTGCAATGGGTGGCAGTGTAGGCTCCAGCTCTACCCTCTGCTCCACGGGCCACAGGCCAGGCATTATGAACTCTGCAGGGCCATGGCCAAGGTTGCACCTTCACTGCATGCACGCATGCGGGAAGAGGGCTATCATTTCTTCCCCACTGAACTCAGCCCCATCCCAGGTTTCCTTGAGAACCGAGGGGGAGCAGCCCATCTTGGGGGCCTACGAAGTGGGCAAGGGCCAGCAGAAGTGGCCGTTCCCAGCCGCTCGTGATCCGACGTCTCCGCTGCTCTGCCCACGTAGGATGAATCCTCGCTGCGGCTTTCTTCCCTCCCAGCCTCCGACTAATGAAACTGCCTTTTTTCCTTTTCTTCCCGGCCCCTCCGGCCCCTCCACCTTTACGCTCTTGTGTCTCCTGCCTTGTCTCCCCCACCCCGAACGTCCCTGACCAGAGGAAGCTGCGCTGGGATATGTGAGGAGACCCGAATTGCACGGCCTGGGTTTCGATACTAACTGTGTGTCTGGGGGCAAGGGCAGCGTGGCCTTGGCTGCATGCTGGGCCGGGGGCAGAGGGAGAGCGGACGCCCGGGTTCGGATGGGCCAGAAGGAAAGCCCTTGCCGTAGCGCTTTGCACCAGCCAAGGGCCTCTGTAAGGCGAAGAACCAGGCCGTCATAGGGGATGACATGACCTGGGTGCTTAGCAGGGATGGAGGCAAACAGGGGGGCCACGAGCACTTCTGGTTCCCCCACCCGTTGACCGCAGACGTGTGCTCAGATGCCATCGCTGCGTCCGCGCCCCGGCCCGAGGGGACGCACTCCCGATAGCCCCACGGCAGCGAAGCTGGCAGGCCTGGCGATGCCAGCCTAGCCTGGCAGGGCAGCAGCCCTAATGGGCACCTCCCAGGGTTTTGCTGGCTCCTGTCACAGCTCAGGGGGTCAAGGGATGAGGAGAGAGGAGAAAAGGACACTGCCAGGAGGACTTGTGCAGGCTCCGCCGCCAGTCACCGAGGGTCTGTCTGCCGCAATTCCTCCTTGCACCCGGGTGCTTCGCGGCCCATCCCACCCTGTCGCCTCTCAGCTCTGCTCGAGAGAAGCCTATCTTGTCCGTCGGTGCGTGGAGCATCCTTTTACATCAGGGCTGTGATATTTGGGCACCAGCGTCCCTGCTTCTCCTCCCCATGGGCTGGCCTGCGTCAGGTCGACCCCGGTTGTGGGCCTGGCCCTGTAGCCGTGCCCCACGGAGATCGGGTGCAGAATCAAGCCCCTGCTTGGAGCAATGGCACGAGGCAGGACGGAGCAGCGGGGCCGGTCAGCCTGGAGCAGGGAGGCGCGGGGCGGACTAACCAGCGTGCTCCCTCACTACCCGAGTGCAGCTGCTTCACTCACCCCGTCTCCGTGGCTTTGGGGGGCTCTTCTCTTTTCATAGCTCCAGTAATTTGTAGGGGGCTGCGTGCACCCCGCTGCCCCTTCGTGCAGGCAGCTGCTGCCCGCAGCCACGTCTGCCGCTTGCTTGCGGGGCACGGACGTCCCACCAGTGTCCCCGCATGGAGCAGGGGGGTGGCGGGACCACAGGGTGCATGTGCTGCTGCACAGGAGGGACGTCTCTCCGGGCTTGTCTCAGCAGATGGAGAAAAGCTCCGGGGCCACGTGCCTGAAGACGGGTTTAGAGTTGGGAGCGATGCCCGTGTTGTCTCTGAATGGGAGTCCGGCTTGCAGGGCCACCTCGCCGTTAGCCGTGCAGTTCATTGCTCATTAGTGGCGTCTTCCCTGTCCTGCCCGCCCCCACAGAGACGAGCCCCATGGCTGTTAGCACTGGAGCTATGGAAAGAATCAAGCCCTCAAATGCCCGGCAAGCCTCCTTTGCCCCCTTGCGTGGCATCTGCGTGGCCAAGGCTGGAGGACGAGTGGAAGAACGTGGGTCCTCGGGTCTTGCCCGCGCATCCTCGGCCTGTTGGTTTGCTTGCACGCGCATGTTTTCTCTTTGCTAAATCATCTTCTCTGGGGCACTGATGCTTTTTTGTCTTTCTCAAATATAGTTGTGATCTGTGTGGGTTTATACGTACGTGTGAAAGCCAGCGTGATCTCTGTGTGGGTGTAGGAAGGACCCAGCACAGGACTTCCTGGCCCCAGCCCCGTTCCCTTGCCAGACCGACTGCGAGTCCAGCCCCGCCGAGCCTCTCTCTGCTCACGACGGCTCCTGTCAGATCAAGGGAGCTGGGCTAACGGGAACCCGCTTCCAGCTCTCGGCCGAGCCGCGCTTCCTTGCTCCAGGAATAGGCCGGGCCCTGGCAGGGGTGGATGATGCCTCGTCATCCAGAGATGAGTCATCCCGAGCCAGCCCTGTCTGGCTGCAGCGCCCGTAGGGAGGCCCTTCCCCTCGGACTGACGCCGTGTACTTCAAGGGCATCGGCTCCAAAACATCCCTAGGACGGTCAGCTCTGTCCGGGGAGCTTTCATAGGATCGTAGACAAGGAGGGCTGGAAGGGAGCTCAGGAGGTCACATCTAGTCCGACCCCCTGCTCCAAGCAGGACCAGCCCCAACTACATCATCCCAGCCATGGCTTTGTCTACCCAGCTCCTAAAAACCTCCAGGGATGGAGAGTCCACCACCTCTCTGGGTAACCTGTTTCAGTACTTTACTAGTGAGAGAGTTTTTCCTAATCTCCTACCTAAATTTCCCTTGCTGCAACTTGAGCCCATTGCTCCTTGTCCTGTATCTGCCCCCACTGAGAACAGCCCAGCTCCATCCTCTTTGCAGCCCCCCCAACAGGAGTTGGAGGCTGCTATTTCCCTGACCTGCCACCCAGTGCATTGGCAGGAGCGCCGATACTGTCCCAGTGACCCCTGCTTCTGCTGTGGGGCCGTCCGGCGACTCCCGGCAGAGAGGCACGCGGGCAGTCGGATGGGACGCACCTCCCTCCTGCTGCTGCCTGGTTCTTGTGCACGTTCCCCTCTCCCCCGTGCATCCGAGGAAGGAGGGTGGAGAAGCTTTCGATGCCCTCGCATGCCTCGCTGAGCCTGTCCAGTGGCTGGTATCCCCCCAGGGGTTGCGGGATCAGGGGCCGATCGGAGCGTGGCTTCGTGGCACGTTGCTCCCCCCGCGCCCGCAGAGCTCAGGCTGGTTTGGCTGGATGATTGGGAAGCATGTGGAAGCTCAGTCCCGGTGTGTGCGACGGCGTGCTGCCGCCCGTGTCGCGCGGGGTCTCCAAGCGCTCACCTGGCTCCCACCTTGTGTTGGCTTCCAGGGCAGCGCTGGCTTCGGCCCACCAGTGCCACCCGCTCCCGCGGACCCTCAGTGTGCTGAAGAGCACCCCGCAAGTGAGGGGCATGCACACCATCATCAGGTGAGCCTCGGCCTCGCGGGGAGGGCGGGGAGACCTCGGGAGCTGCCGTCCATCCTCGGGCCAGCTGCTGACATCTGCATGCTGGAGAACCCAGTGGGAACTGGGGTTCGGCAATCCTGCCCAGTGACCTTGAATCTCCTGGGGACGGGATAGAGCCCACCCCCAATACTAAGCGGGGGCTGTGTGGGGTCTGGCCTCTGCAAACAAGAGCTGGCCGGTCCCGAGACCTGCTAGGGTGGATGGAGGCCAGGACGGGAGAGGGAACTTGCTCCAAACCACATCGCAAGGCAGTGAATTCTCCCTTCTTCCCCACCCGGCTCCATCTACCCAAGCAGCCTTCGGCCTCTCGCAGTGACTGCAGTCGGGTGACACGTTTTCCCCCCACCTTAGGAACAAGGAGACCAGCCGAGACGAGTTCATCTTCTACTCCAAGCGACTGATGAGGCTGCTGATCGAGCACGCCCTGTCCTTCCTGCCTTTCCAGGTGGGTGCCGCAGCGGGTTGAGGTCCGGCCTGGAGGCCGGCTGCAACCTGCTCTGGTCCACGCGGGGTCCAGCCGTAGACCAGACAGGCCAGCAGGGCCCTCGGGAGGTCGCGTCTCTTCCAGCCCAAACAAGTATCTCATGCCTCACTCCTCCCCGGAGGACCTGAGCAGCTCCTGCTGCTGCCTCGAGCCCCACAATGAAGGTACATTCATGCCGTCCTCCTCCTGGGTAGCGGTGTGCACCGGAGGGACCCTTTTCATAACGTGCACCCTGGCCCCATGCCGCTCCCCCTCCATCAGAGGCAGAAACAGGCCTCCTGGGGAGCACAAGGCTGAGAGGTCTGTCTGAGGCCTCGGCCTGGCCCCCTGGGACACCCATCCCCAGCCGCCGGGACTGCGTGAAGGCTTCACCAGGCTGGTAAAGGCTTTCCATGAGTCTGCTGTGCCAGGCCACTGCTGGTGTCTATGGTCCTGCTCGCCCCATGTCTCACCGAAGCCTGTGCTCAAGCTTTTGCTGTGATCTCTGCAGAGCTGCACCGTCCAGACCCCGCAGGGACAGGACTACGAAGGACGGACCTTCAGCGGGAAGCAGGTGAGCAGGAGGGAGCAAAACCCACTGATGTCCCTGGCAAGGGCTGGCTCGGTGCTTGCTCATCACGGGCGTGGGATGGCGCAGCTTAATTAGCAGCTGTTAACGAGAGCCAGGTCAGCCCCGCTTGCAGCACCGATGAGACATGCATGGGTGCTGCCCGCGGGTGTGGATGCTGAGTGGGGGATGAAGGCTTTCACCTCCTACATTGTGTCAGGGAAGGCATCTTCCCCAGAGGCAGCTAAACCCCATCGTGCAGGAGGAGATAAGGTGCCTTTACAGCATGGGGATGATTTGTTCTGGGCACCCATGGCATGGCTCCACTGCTGCCCCAAGGTGGGCATGAGCCCCAAGGGATGGCCATGGGGAAAGGGGAGCTCACGCCACCCTTGGGAAGCACTTTGAGATCATTGTGGTCAAGGGGGAGACGGGCATGCCCCCATCATGCCCACTCTGTGCTGCAGATCACGGGCGTGTCGATCCTGAGAGCGGGGGAGACGATGGAGCCGGCCCTGCGCGCCGTGTGCAAAGATGTCCGCATCGGGACCATCCTCATCCAGACCAACTGCTACACTGGGGAGCCAGAGGTGGGGGCCTCACTCCTGGGGAAGGGAGCGGGTATCGGGACGTGGGCACAGGGATCCTTGATGCCTCATCTGATGGCTGCTGGGACATCCCTCCATGTTGGTGGAAGGTGGCAGCTGGTTGCCCCAGACATCCTACTTGAGCGGTCACGGAGGCCTGGGAGCTGCCTGTGACAGGCCATGTCTGCAAACACGCATGCACATTTGCACACGCAGCATCCAGTCAGTCACACATGCTTCTACCCCGGTTGTGTGGGGCAGCACGGGCCGGAGAAGGGCAAGACCACGTGCCATCACGATTTCCCTGGGGTTCAGTTGCAATTAAACCCTGCTCCCCAGTTTGTTCTTCTCCCAGCCGGCTCCTCCTCTCCTCCCTCTTGCTCATTAGCACTGGATCAGTAATGAGCGGAGGGCCTGTACCAGGCTGGCAACCTGCGCCTGCCAGCCGGGGGAATGGCTGGGGTCTGCCTATTCTCCCCATGGAGTTCTCCAGGGCGTATTTGGGGGGCGGCCAGAGCCGTTCCCAGGTTCCCAATCTCATTTCCTCCGCAGCTCCACTACCTGCGGCTGCCGAAGGACATCAGCGAAGACCACGTGATCCTCATGGACTGCACAGTCTCCACCGGGGCAGCTGCCATGATGGCAGTGAGGGTCCTGCTGGTAAGGCCAGGCATGGGAGCAGGCCTGGGAGCAGCCCTGTGGCGTGGCAAGGGGCATGGGGGTGGAGATGGGCATCCCCTGCGCATGGGAAAACCTTCCCCCGCCTCTGCTGTGTTCAACCCCGGAGCCGTGGCACGGTGCTCACCCCTGCCCACCCTCTCCCCACGTCTCTCCCCCAGGATCATGACGTCCCAGAGGATAAGATCTTCCTCCTGTCCCTGCTGATGGCTGAGATGGGCGTCCACTCAGTGGCCTACGCCTTCCCCCAGGTGAAGATCATCACCACGGCGGTGGACAAGAAGGTGAACGACCTTTTCCGCATCATCCCAGGCATCGGTGAGTTGCTGGTTGGGAAGAGGAGCAGGAGAGCTGCCCCCCGGGGAAGCTGGGGGAGTCTGATGAGAGGCAGGACAGATGCATTTCCCCTCTGCCTTTGTTGCAGAGCCCAGAGCCCCCGCCTGCGGGTGCGCCTTCATGTCCTTGCTCCTTCGTGGGCTGAGAGGGGGGATGCAGCTCACCCCAGCTGGGTGAGGGCTGGGGGCGGCAGTCTAGCCGCAGAGTGCAGTCTATACCCCAATGCACGTCCTTCTCTCACCCGCCAACTCTAGGGAATTTCGGAGATCGCTACTTCGGGACCGACGCACCCCCCGACTGGAGCGACGATGAAGACACCCTTAGCACTTAGCACCCCGGCCCTCCGCCCCCAGGCAGCAGCCCGGGGACGGCAACAGGGTTGAGGCAGCTTGCACCTTAACCTCCCGCTGGACATTTGCAGAGAGATTATTCCCCCAACCCACAGCATAGCTTATTTTTTGAACTCGTGCACTTCAGAGCTAGGGCCTATTTTTGAACGGAATCCGAGTCCCGGCTGACAGCACGTGCAGCCGGACCTTAGAGCGGAGTTACTTTATTTTAATATAAATGGTTGGCTACTTTAACTTATTCCAGATTTTCTAAAGAAAAAAAAAAAAGAAAGAAGTGTTTTCCTCTGGTTTTCTTGGATGGCACGGCTCTAGCTCGGGGGTCTGCGGTGCAGAGTGGGAGTGTGTTTTGCCTCAAGTACATCAGTCTGTCTGTAAGTGCTGTCACCAGTCCCCTCTCCGTAGCCTCCGCTCTGCCCTGGGATGAGCAAAGTCAGGCTGGATGGGTCCTCAGGGGAGTCACATCCAGTCCAACCCCTGCGCAAGCAGGATCATCCCTCTCTACCCCATCCCAGACGACTGAGATACAGAGAGTTTAGGGGTACGGCAGCTAGCACAAGCAGTGAGATGCCCGGTTCCTCCTGGGGAGGTGGTCTGACTGTCCTGTAGTCCAGTTTTGAGCCATCCAGCTGGCCCCAGAGAGCAGGGGGAGTTGCCCGGATGGGCATCCTTGTCTCTGGGTTGTATGGCAGCACGCAGCTCGGCCCCATGTTCTCAGCACCCGCATCTCTCTCTGCTTTGCAGTCCCCAGCCTGAGAGACGATTTCCCCTCCGGCTGAGCGGTCGTGCCGGGAGCCGCCTGTTCCCATCTGCGCAGACCGGAGAGCAGGACCCAGCTCTGAGCATGGAGAGCGGATGTGCTGGCACTTTGCTCCCTGGGCACGGCCAAGCTCCCAGCAGCAGGCACGGGCACTACAGGTGCATTAGGCTTCACCGTACTGAGATCAGCCCACCCCGAGGCATGGTGTTTCCCAACCCCAGCAGCAACAGGGAGCGTTGGGGCTTCGGGGGCTGTCGGCGCTCCGGCAGCCCTGGCCCAAAAGCAGAAACAACCCTGCTCCCATCTGCCCCGGCCTGGGCGCTATGATTTACGGCTGCTGAGGTTGGGCACATACCCCCACGGCTAATTAGAAGACAAGCTGAACTCCAGCAAGCACCTGGGGAAGGCATGATCTCGACGCTGCCGCTGGGCCCGGAGCTGGCGCTGACACCGGATAAGCTCGGCACTAAAAATATCTGCTCGTGTAGGTGGCTCTCAAAGTCTTAAGCACAAAGGCAGTTGGAAAGAGAGAGCATTTCCTTCCAACTGACCAGCAGCACCAGGTAGATCTGCAATGGGCAAGGATGAGCCACCCTGAGCAGGCACCTAAGCTCCTATCATGCACATCCTGGATCCCGGCAAACAGAGGCAAGAGCAAGCATCCCCCTGGCCCCAGGTTTCCCTGCTCTGTATCTGCTCCTCAAGCCACAGGGTGAGGGAAAGCTCCCTCGTGACCTCCCCGGTCCTTCCTATCACTCACAAGCTGCCCCTGAAAAGCAGAGGCAAGGGCACCTCGCGCAATCGTCCCTGCCCTGCTGGCTGACCCCGCTTGGATCTACCCCTCACTTGGATCTACCCCTCGGAGTGAGGAAAGCTGAGCGGGGTCTGCTTCGGAGGGAGGGAGATCCCTGCAGGGCACGGAGCCAGGGGGAGAGGGCAGTGCTGGGGGACCTGGCGGCGAACTGGGCCCCTAGCTCCATGCGACTGCCCACCCTGGAAGAGACTCAGGGAAGGGCTGTGGGGTGAGCAGGACTAGGTCGGCAGTGCGTGCACCCACCCTAGCAAGGTCATGGGCAGGCAAAGGCTGAAGAGGGGGAGCTGCTGGACAGGGACCTTTGTCACAGCAGCCCAGGGCACAGACGTGATGCAGACACAGGTGGATGCACCCCGGTCTCGCCCTGCACACCCCTGCTCCATTGCCTCACAGCTGAGATCGGCCACATGCCGCAGTCCCAGAGGCCTGAGCAAGTGTCCTCACTGCAGCCATCCTCCTGCATAGGCCCAAAACAGCCCCTGGGCATCCTGGAGCCTGAAAGAGGCCATTGCTGGGGTAGCTGGCAGTGGCCTCACTAGCCAAGACCCCGGTAATCACAGCCCTGGCCCTGCAGCGAGATGACTCCCTTGCATGGCCGGGGTAACTCTGTCGCCCCATCCTGCTGGGAGCCAGGCTGCCCCTGCACACACAGCCCATGTGAACCCTGCACACGCATGGAGCCAGCGAGCGACAGCCTGTCTCCTGCTCCAGGGCTCTGGCGGCCCAGGCGGAGGCAGGACAGTGCCCGTGGGGAACGGGGAAAGCTGCGACAGCACGGCGGGGAGCTTTGTGGGCTGTTCCTGGAACATCAGCCTGGAAACCAGAGGCTCTGGGTGCAGGGAATGACAAGAGCAGCTGATGCACCCGTTGCACAGGGAAGACCAGAGCGTGCAGCCTGGGGAAGCCGGAGGGAGCTGCACCCCAGCACCTAAGCCACTTGGGCTGGCTAAGAACAGCACGCTGCCTGCACGCAGCCCCACGCAGCCCCTGTGCATTAAAGCAGGGCCGGGCCCCGTCTCTCTCCTGCATTCAGAGCCCAACAAAGGGAACGCGGCTCCTCTGCAGCTGCGGCTGCAGGGAGGTGCCCAGGGTGCAGGGCTGGGCTCCCAGCCAGAGCCTGGGAGAGCTCGGTGCAGGGGAGTGAGTAAGGCCGCCACCTGCCGGCCCATGAGAAGACATCGCCCTGGCCCGGATAAAGCTGCGACGTGCTATGCATGGCCTGCGCCGTGCCCCTTCCAGCCCTGCCCAGGTGCAACCGGTATTCACCCTGTTTTACAAAGCAGGAAACTGAGGCACCACCAGTTTAGACCCAAGGTCACGCAGCCAAGAGCTGAACCTGAGCTCTGCACGGGGGCAAACGCACAGGGCTTCAATGGGCGTGAGGCCTCTGAGCTTCCTTAAAAATCGGATGCAGCGAATCCAGCAAGGCATGGCGTGGTCCCGGGGGCAGAGGAAAGCCCCGCCGAGCAAAGGAAGGCCCCTTTAGGTCAATACCACTCACAATACATGCATCGGGTCCCTCCCCAGTCCCCCCTGATTCGTGCCCACCACGGCTGCAGCAGCTCCCAAGGCTCTCCTCTCTGCCCCCAGCCTTGGGAAGGCATCGGTGTCCCTCGGGAAGGCTTCCAGCTGTGACTGCATGGTAGAAACACAACCCCGAGCGCATCGGAGGTTGCACAGGCCCCCTGACCCCTCCATCCCACCAGACCCCGCTCTCCACACCGTCCGCTTTCAATCCCTATGCCCTGAAACAGCTGGGCTCTGCACAGTCCTGCTCCACCGGCTCTGGACCCTGTGGGGCTTAAACCTGTTGAGCCCAGGCTTCAAAACTAGTCTATGCCACTTCCCAGCCATGCCAGGGGCTCGGTGCTGAGCTTCCTGACGGGCAGCAGGCATGACCTCGAGCATCACGCATGACCTGCTCGAGCATCCTGCCCCCCTGGGGCAACCCAGCATCTCCAAAAGCACAACCCTGCCTGGTGGAAGCACTCTCTGACTCGGGGCCAGGACCCGCAGGGCCAGCAGCGCTCTCGCAGCGCCCTGCTCCACCCTTCCTTTCACGGCACCTCGAGTCTGACTTTCTATTGTCGACAGCAAAGGGCAGGCGGCGAACGCGCAGCATCGGAAAAACTGCGTGGGAGGCCTCTGAGTGCACCCACTCCCTTTGCTCTCTTGGCCGGAAGGGAAACACCACCCCGCGCAGTGACCAGAAAGGCTGAGGCGCCAACAGGCAGTAAAGCAGCAACGACAAAACAAAAAACAAAAAAAAAAACCCACCTTTTTCTGAGATACCGATCTCACGCAGACCAACAGACCTGTTGTTTCCTTTTATAGCCCTAGAGCTGCCTCCTGCTAACACGGCTTAACGGCAGGTGAAAAAAGAGAAGACGGTTGGACCATCCTTTCACCTGGGAAGAGGTCCGTGGGGCTCAGCGGCTGAGGACGCTCCTTTGCCTCCTCCTGCGAGCACATTTCCTCCGCAGCCCTCCGAGACAGCGGGGAAATGCCCAGCAGACTCCCCCTGTGCCTGAAAAAGGGGCTTTGTGCCCCAAAGCTTGCAAAGAACAATTTTTCCAACTATTGAGTTGGTCTAATAAAAGAGATCACATTGACCCCAAGAACCGCGTCTGCCTACATCCTGAGACCAGCATGGCTACAACCAACACCCTCGTCTAAAAGAGGAACGCTAGTCTCTCTTGGGTTCGTGTGGCCCACTGCCCCCTCCACAGAGCCCGGGCCATCTGCGTGCAACATTTCATGCCCTAATCTCATCGATCAAGGAAGTCCCACGCTACTGATATATGCTCCGACACAATAGTCTCCAGACTGCAATCTTCGCAGGGCCTAGTCCTCGCTGAAGCAGAAAGCCTTTGAAGAATAGAGACCACTATTTACAAAACACCCCCCCTATTTATTGTTCCCCTATCCTCGACACTGGATCTATGCAAAGGGGGGTTATTAATTAACATCGCAGTGGCCCAAAGCATGCCAGGCCCTTTACAGTGCAAAGGGAAAGGACCCTGAGATATTCACAGTATAATCAATCCTTGTTTCTGAGGGGAAAGACCTGCTGCACCCTGCCTCCTGGTTACTGAGTAAGCTTTTCCTTTCTGAAGTGGAAAGAAGAAACGGCCAAAAAACTAACAATGGCACATTTTAGCAACTATGGCACATTTTAGCGTTATGGGCAGGGCCTGGAAATGGACAGGCGTGGGCTTAAAAGCTTGGATGTCATGTGTCGTGATAGACTGAATCACATTTCCTCTTAAACCTGAGATATTCATTAAAAGAAATGGTTGTAGTGACAGACAGCTTCCACGCAGCTTGCGCTCCAGCTTTACGTGCCTTGTTGACCAGGTGCTGCACCCTGCCGAGCCCACGCGCTGGAAGTGAACCCAAAGAAAAGAGCTGTTGGACAATAGCAACCCACTGGCTAACGCCTCCGATAGCTGCAGGCCCAGGCACAACTAACTCCAAAAAAAACAGATTGCAAATGAATCAAGAGGAAAAACAGGGCTACTCCAGTTAGCGACAGAGAATCAAGTCCCTCAATGAACGCACTGAGGAAGCATTACATGCCTGCTTCTTTCTCCTGACCACTTTTCTCTCCCCGTCATTGCTTCAATTAGTCCAGTGCATCAAGTATTTGACTGAATCCCACCATCTGCTATAGCAATCGCATCAGGCAGGGCTCAGGCTAAACTCATTCAGGCTCTTCCTACTGGCAGGATCCTACCAAAAGTCGCCACTGACCACAGGCTCCTTTCGTTCTTAACAACTTCTGCAAACTCAGCGGAGGTTCAACAACTTCTTGTTTGACTTCCTGCCTCACACCAGGTACAGACCAAGCCACAAGTGACCCAGCCAGCAAAACAAAGCCTGGAACAGGGACCTCTCGCAGCTAAGAGCACAGCGAAACAGTACAAATTAAACCAGAGAACAGTATCTGCTGGACCGCCAAAGGCAAAGGCGCTGCATGGCTGAGAGCAGGGCTTTCAGTAATAGTTTCTCTTTCTACTGAGGGGGAGAACGGTCTCTCTCAAGTGTGTCCAGGGTTGCATTATTGAGCTACTATAAAGTACCGAACCAGGAGGTCTACCAGCCCGGGTCTTGGCTGGAGGCTTGCAGAGGGCACGGGGATTTTTTTTTTCCACTTTCCACACAGAGCAGTAAAATACTTTTACTTCCGACTTTCCCTCCCATCCGTTTCTTACTTCCTCGATAAGAGACGCAACCTTTAATTTCAGTTCCATGATATTTCGCCAAGGAACTGGGACGACTCGTGGTAAAAACGAGCTGTGGCATGAAGCAAAGCCCTCTGTTTCCCTCGGGTGCACGGCTCTCATAGAAGAGCAACGGTGTCTCGTCCCTGGCAGCCCTGCCCCACGTTTCGATGGGCCAACTGAAATATGTGGTTCATTCCTGATCACCAGGCCCAGCAAACCTGTTTAAAGAAACCACTCAAAGAATCGGCGCTCAGAACAATTACCTATCGGAGGTGGGTCTTCAGCTCCAAGGTGCTATAAAACTGCAGTGGAAAATGTGGGGCTATTTTTAAAGTGTTGCCTAAGGTGGCTTTTAGTGCCGAGATCACAATGCGTGTTCTATTTTAATGAGCAAAAACAAGCCCAGAAGCAGAATCACTGGAAACCATGATGTGCTGCTACCCACAATTACATTCAGATTGGCTGTCACTTAAAATGTGCCCTAGCTGGGATTCATGCGCCTGGGAAGAAAGTTTCTTATATCAAAGAAAGCTGAAGGAGGTTGTCGTCCCCCATCTCCCCCCAACCCCTGGTGAATTTGTATCAGTGAATCATCTGTCCGCTGTCTTACGAAGTGGATAAAAGACGTTTACAATGAGAAAATGAAACATAGGACTGGAGGGAAATAGTCACTAAAGTCATCCAAAGAATAAACTTTCTCACCCAGAAGTGGCTACAGTTCGATACCAAAGGCATCAGGCTGTTGTTTTGTAAAATAGCCGTGTTGAGATCTTACGAGATATAAGGTCAGAGTTGTCCTCAGCACCTGAGCTCCGTGGAAGAGCTTTGAATTGCCCAGCATGGAGATAGCTTCTGGTCATTAAACTGCATTGTTGACTAATACATGGTAAAACTCCACTGATCTTCCATAGCGTGTGTGTGTCTAGCAACATAAATGCTAAAAAGTCCAGTAGAACAATTACATACCTTCACACATACCTATAAAACTTCATAAATACATATTCAAGGTGAGATGTGTAGATGTACAATGTTAACTATGTTATAGGTCATATAATTGCATGGTATTACTATAAGGAAATGAATGATCATTTTTGAATTATTATAATACATGACACGTGCAATATAAATACATGTGTAGCGTGATATCTGCCAGCAGGACAGCCTCAAGTTAGCCCTGCTGTCCTTACTAAACCATTTGGGGAGGTGATTTATCAAGGTCATTAACCCCTCAAATGTTGGTGGAAGGTAGCCAGTTTTCCCCCAAATCTGACTTGTTTCGGGGGGACTGGGGAGGTTTCTGTTTGCTTCGGTTTGGGGGTTGCTTTTTGTTTAGTCCAGTTTTGTTTTTGTAATGACAAGCGAGGCAATTTAATTTTTACATTGCAGATGGGATTGGTTTTGAATTCTCACCACGTAAAAGTGAGTGGCAACAGCAACGGGGTGCAGACTTTTAGTCCGTAGAAGTATCAATGGTGTCTTGAAAAGGCGAAGCTGGACTGAGACAAGCGATTCACTAGAGAAGTTAGCCGTTTGTAGAAACACAAGGGCTATTTTGGTAGCAGGTTGAATGCAAAGATTTCATCCACAAACACATGGTCGCTGGACCTCCCTAGGCACATAGAGGTCTGACTGACCACAACAAAGGCCAGAGACAGCATGTGTTTGTGACTTGCCTGCTGCGAGATGGTCTCATGCTCACATTCAGAGCCCAGCGGCTTTGCGAGAGGGCTAATAGTGCTCTGAAAAGTGCACGGTAAGCTTTTGTACCATGGGAACTGCACGATGGATAGGCAAAGCAGGGTTATTTCATACCTGGCAGGAGAAACCTTCAGTGCTAAGTACTGGTTCCCCGTATTCTTCTGCCTGGATTAAGCAGTAAGAAAAAGAGCAAGTCACACAAATGTACCTATCGTTCCAGCCCCTCCTTCACCTCCCTCTCTCTGTAATTGCTGCTACAAACCATTATTACTGTGCAAGTAGAGAAATACAAGGTGCAATATCTGATCAGTGTGAGCTTTCAAAGCAGCCTTTGAAGTTCAGCTCAGACCCCCGCGGCCCGTCTCTAATACACGAGAAAACACAGGCGATTGCTTTGGTGAAAACAAGTGTCCTGCTCTTACTCGGCCTAGCTCACAGCCGACGCGCTGCCCCCTCGATCCTCACCAAGTGCTGGGGGCAAGCGGCAAATAAGGTGTTCAGGCATAAACCCGAAATGCCAGGCCATTGCACACCCAGAGCTGCACGGGGAAAGGCCTACGGGGACTCATCCCTGTTGTTCAGATCATGCCGTGTCATATAGCATTTGCAAGGTGCTAAGCTTGAAGAGGCCAAAGAAGCAAGGTCTAACAAGTGGTTTCTAAGAGCTCCCATTCAGAACAGGGATAAGAGACTTTCAGGGTTCAAGTGAGATAGTAGCAAGAGATGTAATATTAGGGCTGAAATTCTGGCATGTGTCAGACACAAAATATACACTACAACCAGAGCAGCAAACACCCGTGCCCCATGTGCCCCTTACACAGCAGACAATTCATACCAGCTGCAAGCAAGACTGGTCTGGGCAAAGCAGCCGTGGCTGGAGAGGGGTCGATACAGCAGTACAAATGCCCTGCTCGCCCAGGCCTTCTCCTCTGAAGCTCTCAAAGCACAGCATGGACAGCTCGCCCCTATCAGACTCGTCTGTAGCAGAGATGCTTCATACCATAACCACGGCAAAGCTGCAGTGGAGATGCCTGGCACCCGAATCATACGGGGTTTCCATCAACCCGCTGCTGAAATGGTTGCAGATTCCTAAGCCCAGCGAAGCTCCCCTCCCCAGTCCCGAACAGATGGGCTGCACGCCTCCCAACCCTCATCCCTGTGAGGTGGGTGTTGTTCATGGGCAGGGAAGTGAAGCTGAGAGAGGTGAGCCCAGCATCTAGGTTGCTAGTCTGCTTCTCCAGCCAAGAGACCCTCGCTCTTCTCCACTGACATGAACCTCACGGCCTCCTTCTTTGGCTAGCCAGAGCCCTTCCACCTCGGAGCCGGCAAAGCCACATTGCCACCAGGGAGACCCAAGCTAGGCGACCTCCACCCCTCTGAGGTTGCTCAGACACCTTCTCCAGCCCGTCAGTCAGAACACGGCTCTTCCATGCAGCCGGACGTGAGACAAGGAGGATGGAGCGGACCCGGAGGCAATGCAGCCTAGTGCATGGGGAAGGGGTGAGCTTCTACCCCTCATCCAGGTCCTGCCTCCGCGGCGATGTGAACTCACTTCTCAGCACGTGGCACTGCCAAATCACTGCTCTGTGCCTCAGTTTCCCCATACTACAAAAGTGCTTAAGCCTCCCCCCGCAGCAACACGCAATCTGCTGATGCCAAAGGCTGAATAAGAGAGAAGCCACTTCCTCTGTGCTCGGGTTTAGTTCCATTCTGCCTTATCAATATTTTTATGCCGGGCTGTTTTCCGCCCCTGCCCTCCTTTTCCTTATAAAGGCCTGACTTCCTGCAGCCCCCAATGGGTTTTCTGGGCTTCTTTAAAACTACAGATGCTTGCCTGGCTTTAGCAGGCAATTATGTAAAAAATCACTCCTCCTGATTTCACAGCCTGTTCCTTGGGCAGTTTCCAAGCCAGGCCTACTCCCCGGAGCGACAAAAATAAGCTTGAGCTACTTCGTGCCCGTCTTGGCCCTGCGGAGACGGCAGCACTCGGGGCGCGGGTGCTGGGTGCTGATCCAGCTGACACAGGAGAGCGATCTCGAAAGCAAGCCAGGACTGACCTTCAGAGGTCAGCTTGTCTCTTGCCCTGGCACAAGGCTGAATGGGCTCTGCCCACAGCATCTCTGGGCAATAGGAAAGCAGGTTGCTAAATCCCACTTGCAAAGGCTTTGGGGTGGCAGAGGGGTTCTGGTGCCGAACCTGAGCTGGCCAGGCAGGTCTTCAGAAACATGCATCTGTTTGTGTGTAAACTGAGTATTTTTTATAGGGGTGCATTGCTACTCCACAGAGTCACTTCTAGGCGTCGAAGCCTCCACGCTGTCAGAGCCTCCCCTCTAACAAGGTCCACGGTGCTCACCCGTGTCTCCCAGGGCTTGGCGTACCCACTGCCTACCTAATTCACACAGAGGCATCCCTCTTTTAAGCCTAGTTTAGAAAAGCTGAGCCAGGCAGTTCCTTAGTTTATAACAAGGTTCAAAGAAGTGCTACAGCACAAGGGGCTTTTTTTTTTTTTCGACTACTTCTTCAAGTTCCCTTGCCGCCTCGTCTGTCCAGTGGTGTAATGGAAATTTTACCACAGCCGCTCGCGATGAACAAACAGGAAGCTCGTACAACGTGTGGCAATTTGCTACTAGCTGGCTCAAGTCAGTCTAGTGCTGAGAAAGGCCATAAAAGCAGGTGTGGGGGAGGCAGAGTGAAGGAGTGAGCGTGAGAGGTGGGAGACTGCAGCCCGGGCCTGGAGAAGACCAGAGAAGAGAGATTAGAAACAAGCTGCTTTCCTCCTAGAAGAAGCCACAGGTAAGCCTGACGCGGCTTTCTGCCCCCTCTTTGCCCAGAGGTAATGTCTAGTGCATCTTTGAAGTCCTGCAATGTGCTTAAACTCTGTGCTGTTTTCATCTGCTGTCCTAAGACACTCAGAAATCAGCCAACGTTTCATCAGTCTATTAGATTCAGAGGCAAAGATTAATGAATAAACAGCAATTAATTAATATTCATTAAAATAGGCATTCAACATGCTTTCGCCTCAAGCCCGTACCCGGGATGCTATTTATCTGTAAGGCTTCATGCATTTAAAAACCCATTGATCACAGATTTGGGATTGAAAAGACAAAAGCGCTTCTTGAACTCAAACCCCGAGACCGCTTTGGGGTTTCTCCAGCCCCAGGGAGCTCATTTGGGTTATCCACTTACCCCAGAGCTCACCCCACTCAATAGAGTCCTTTTGCATTGCCTGAGAGATGAACCTGGCTCAGCGCCTCTTAAGAGAGTGGGACCATGATAAGATTGGGGAAAGCGAGTAGGAAGGGTAGAAAGCAAGTCCCCCGGGTCCTCTTCTGAGGAGATTGGAGACCTCGTGGGGGTTTTGCTGGAAGAATTATCCAAACCAAAAACAAATCCCCTATAGATTTTGCAAACCAGGCGTTTTTTTAATGTACAGCAGTTATGGGGGCATTTTTCCTCCTGGCACCCACAGCTACCCTGCACGGAGAGCTCGTCTCTGTGTGGGCATCAGGCAGCTTTCAGAAAGCGGACAGGTCCCATTTCCAGTGAGCTCTGGCAACCCACTGAGGGATCTCCTTCCTCAGACCTCAGGGGATTTTGCATTGCTGAATTCCCAAGTTCGGGGCACTGCTGGCAGACCTGCACTACGCTGCTCTGTCATAGCGGGCCGAATCCCTAGCTTCCTTGCGCTGGTGCTGCGGTGGGTCTAGGACTGATCCTAGAGATCTCTAGGACTGATCTCTAGGATCTAGGACTGATCCTAGAGGCTCTTATTAAGCTTTAAGGAAAACTCAGTATTTGAGGCCTTGAGCCATGGGCCGCACCGCCCATGCCTTCCATATGACTGGTGTGGTGCAGCGAGGTGCCCATCGAAGCCCTGGCTTTGCTTTAAGCAGACAAATGGAGCTGGTCCTGTCTGACTTCAGTGGCCATGTGCATAAAGGGGCAAAGGGCTCAGCCTGCTCTCAGCATGAAGTCCGCTCTCTGGAGGGCTGAGCTCTGCGCCCCATGACCAGTGCTCTGAGTTGCAAACCCAGCCTGACCCGCTGCCTCTGCAGAGATCACTGAGCCCAGCCCCATGCCCGCACCAGCTGCCGTGTGTGCAGACACAGCCTCAGATGCTGCTAGGACATGAAAGGCTTAGCACCCGCCATGCGTGTCACACACTTCCCCGAAGGGACAGCCAGGCTCTCTGCAACCTGGAGCCCACGACAAGGTGTCGTTAACATGCAATGCAAACCGAGCAGGGGACGCGTGGGCTGGAATTTCACGGGAGGATGCACACGCCATGACCGCAAGGATGTGGGCAGGCAGGAGCGCGGGGCTCAGCCGGGGTGGGGGGCGGAAAGGGACATGCCATTGAGCTCAGACAGAGCAGGGAGGTGCCCAGCCCTTCCCGCCTAAACCAGCCCTGTCTCCAGATGGGGCAGCCTCCACCTTCACCACCATGTTGAGTTCAACACACCTTCCTGCTGCTCCTGCACTCACACTCCGGCCCAGAGCAGCCCTGGCTTGTCCCGTCCCCGGCGGCGCTGCTACACCATGCAATTGCAGTCGGACCGCTTGGGCCGATAGCCTCTGCTGGCTCCTCTCCAGCGCCCACAGCCCCAGGGGCCCGGCAGCCTTACCTTGCAGCCCTCAGTCTCACCCCCTCAATGCCAAGGTGTTGCTGCCAAGCACTGGTGCCTTCTATGAGGGCACCACTAACCCCCATCTCCATCCCCACCACGTGAACCAGCCATGTCCTGGCACCGGCATTTTGCCCACGCAAACCCCTGCAGGCACAACAGCCAACTGCCAGGTCAGTGCCAAACTGCCCCTCTCCCAGGGACCTGCTTGTGCAACGTCTAAGGGATAGTCCCTGCAGGAAAGTTGTACTGATTTAACTAGCTGGGGTGCTAAACTTGCTCATTTAAAGCCAGGAAAAGGCTGTGGGGACCATCCTGGGGTTTGCCTGCAGGAAGAAGTTCCTGTACAGGGCACAATAAGTGCCAGGGTGCCCAGGACATGCTCCCTGGGGAGAACAGCCCCTGTGTCTTTCAACAGGATTACAGGGGTGTCAGCCTACTGCACACACAAGCCCTTGGGTGGGTCTGAGAGCAGCTCTCTTTGGTGAAGCTGAAGGCAAAACCGGTTGCAGCTCCTGAATCCAGAATAAAATCATCCACACAGGCTGCCTAACCCCATTTAAGCACCAGGAGAAGTTTCAGCGGCACGGCTGTCCCCACGTGGCACGGCTGTCCCCACATGTCCCCAACGGTCCCGCGCTCGCTCACACGTGGCCTGTCCACTCCCAGCCATGCTTGCCCCGCTTCCCCTGGCCCCCGTAGAGCTGAAGCTGCCAATCCGCTGCAGAAGTATCTCAAGAGCAAGCTGTCTCCTCTCCCGCAGGCTCACACAACCCAGCGGCATGGGGAGCATCTGCCCGGGGCCGGACCGTGTGTGGACGATGGGGGTAACCGTTACCTGGGGGGCCTGGGTGACATGATGCCGGGGAGACACTTCCTAGCAGCACGTGGTCACATCGTGGACTGTGACGGTGACGTCCCTGCCAAGTCCCTGTGAGCCCTTGCACCAGGTGGGGACATCACGGCACCAGGACTTTCTGAGCTGGAAGTGTCCCCGTGCCATGGCTGGCCCCTTGCCCACATCAGGGGGTCTCCAGCACTGACCCGTGATGTCGGAGGAGGGAAACTGGGCTGTAGTGACGGGGGGAAGGCAGTTGCAACTCATGCCTCCTCGCACATGGAAGAGCTGCCTGGGGAGCGGGTTTTGGCTCAAGACATCCCACTGGGGAGAGACCTGCAGGCACAGAGAAGCGTGCGTGCACCCCCAAGGGACAGCTGCCCTGACAGACAGACAGCACTGCCAGGGAAGGAGGCAAAGCCAGGCCCGCTCCATGGACCAGAACAGGACAGCAGGAGGGCTGGCCAGGTAGAAGGGGGCAGCCTCCATAGAGTCATAAGAAAGTCAGGCGGGAAGGAGCCTCCCACGAGCATCTAGTGCAGCCCCATGCTCAAGGCAGGAATATCCCAGACTAAATCATCCCAGCCCAGTGTCCGTCTCACCTGCTCCAAGGCTGGAGGCTCCACAACTAGTTTAGCAGCCTGGTCCAGTGCTGGACCACCCCTGCAGTCAGACAAGTCCTGCTCATCTTCAACCTACATTTCCCCTGCTGCAGCTTGAGACCATTGCTCCTAGCCCTGTCCTCTGCAGCCACAGAGAAAAGCCCATCTCCATCCCCTCTGTAGTGGCCTCCACAGCTCCCAGGGCCAGGTCCTGCTCTGCAAGCATGAGGCCACAGGATCCGGCCCACAGGGAAACATTTGCCTGGTGCAGACTCAGCCCTTTCCCCGCTCCCACTAAGGGCTGGGAGAAGGGGCTGTTGTCTTCCAAGTCAGGAGAGGTTAGCAGGGGAGAAGCCATGGGGTCTGGCAAGGAGGAGAGACTTGCCTGGCACACAGATCAAGCCCACTAAGAGAGCGGGGCTGCCTGCCCCCCCGAGAGCAGAGACCCTATCCCAGAAGACAGGCACCATTGCGCACTTCTGGAGGTGCCCAAACTGCTCGTGCAAAGGCACACATAGGTGGGCACTGGCAAGCAGGCGACAGGCAAATGCTTTCAGGAGAGCCAGGTTCAAACCCCCACATGGTCTCTGGTGCATGCATGTTGGGCTGTGCTGCCCGTGGGGGTGGTTAGGGGCCATTATCGGCTCCAGACAAGTTAAGCAGCTTCCCTGTCTGAAGCCTGCACATACCTTTCTGTGGCTGCTGCGGCCAGGATCCGGCGGGCTTTCGTGATGCTTCTGCATTTGAAGCTCTGCAGAAAATGAAAGGGAAAGTCCATTTCATATGAAAGTCACTTGGGTCCCGTGAAAGAAGCTGGCCAGTCCAGGGCCCCTAACTGATCCCCTGCCCGAAGCTGGGATGCAGCAGAGAGGGGAGGGGGTCAGCCCAGGCCATGGAGATGCAGCTCCGGCACCATTATATGTTTAACCAGCTCTTCCTGCAGTAGCCTAGAGCCTGGCAGAGCGTGGTGTTACCTGGCCTCTCCCATGCTTTAGGACAGCACAGACCCTGCGTGCCCAGCATGCGGGGTGACGGCTGCAACAGAGGCAGGCCAAGGGGTGCCGCAGGAGCCATCATGGCTGGTTGGGAGAGCAACATGCAGCTCTGACCCCTCTTTCTTTCTCTCCTCTCCAGCACCTGGGAGGGCGAAGCCGGCTGGAGGAAGGAGCCGGACCGCTGCCAAGTGAGGGGCGTCCCCAGGACTGTCTAACCTGAGAATGGTGAAACACGAGGGTCAATCTCAGGTTCGTCAGCCCATGAGACGCTCTCTCCAGAGCCGAAGGGCAGCACCGGCCTGCACATCCAGCTGGAAGCCAGTCCCATCCTGGGGTGAGTGGGGATCTGGGAGTCACTTGCCCCTGCTTGCTCTGAACAGGGACAGAGGCAGTGGGAGGCTTCTCGGGGGATGAAAACACCCTAAATGCTTGCAGCCGGGGTTACCTGTCCCCCACACCCAGCCCGTGACATGTTGCCCCAGCCAGGATCCGTGCACGCCATCAAGCTCCCGAGGGCTCCCCTGCCTCTGCCCAAGTCAGGTACCTTTCCAGGCAGGCTGCGGCGCCCGGCTCTCCCTGTCCACACTCAGGAGGGACGGCAGGGTGGAGAAAGGGCTGAGCCGTCCCATGGTGGGTTGCAACAGGTGGGCCTGGCACGTAGTGTCGGGCTGCATGAAGCCCCGGCCGAGCACCTCCCAGAGCAAAGACTCCCCCAAGGGCTGAATGCCTAACTCCAAACCCTGGCATAACACCCCCTGGCCTCTCTTGCCCAATAATTAGCGCACCCACTAGGATGGCGTGGGGATGGACCTGGTCTCAGGCCCCTCTCCATGGACTGCCTGGGCATTTAACCTTCACCTGTCACAGGATAAATGGTCCACGGAGCCAAAGTCTGGCTAGGGGAAGTTGTATGTGACTCAGTTTCCCTGCAGGCACCCATAGACACTCCCAGCCCTGGGGCTGACTCTGCCCTCAGGCAGGGTGGCACTTCCCTGTGGGCTGAGACGGAGCCTCCTTTCCTCTCACGTCCCCCAGTTTGTGGTCTCAAAGGGGTCTCAGCTTGGGAAGACCCAGCAGGCACAACAGCCTCTTGCCTCTACCCCTTCATTAGCTGCCCTAGCCCTCCTTTCCCCCCCAAAAAGCAAACTTCAATGCCCAATTGCAAGCGCCCCCATTGCAGCCAGCTCTTTCCACCCCTGCCCAGCGAGCTTGTCACATCAGAGGCAGGAGAAACCAAGCAAGAAACTCTGCCGTAGGCTTAACAGAAACAGCGACCGCAGCGCACAGCACAGCCCCGGTCTCATGCATACGTGAGGCACTGCCCTGACAGCCCATGCTACAGAAACCAGCCACAAGCAAAGGCCACCTCGCCTGCAAGCGAGAGGGGAGCCCACTGCAAGATCACTGGGGGTCTAGGGGCAAGGACTACAGCAACGGCGCTTCCCAGTCTCCCCATTTCTCCAAAGAGCATCAATAAAAGCCGCTCTGCACGACGTGTTGTCTGTCATTCAGCTGCACAGATCAGGCCCAACCTGTGCAGTAGGTGTCTAAACCACTCGGAGCTTGTAGTCCTCCAGCTGCTGGAGATGACGGCGGAGGGAAACTTGGAGTGGCGTTGAGTTTTGCAGCCCCTCTCACCCCCTTTCCTGAGAAGAAGTGTTTGAAAAGTCAGCCATGCTTTGCTGGAACCGAACTTGTCACGGTCCCTAGTTTCTGAGCTGCCACATCTATTTCTAGCCCTTCAAGGGAGAGAGCACTCCCATGACGAGACATTCCTAATTAGGAGACTCTTTGACTTCTAATAGCCATGGGACTGCTTGGGTATTTGGCTCAGAGGATTCAATGAATGGAGCTGATTGATGAGTTTGACAGCCTTGAAAGCTTCATTAACACTTAGCTGCTTTTAGTTTTTACTAGAGGAAAAGAAAGTGACAGACTTGAAAACGGCAATAATTAATCCCCAGGCAGCGTATGTGCATGTGCTCCTCAGCTATGAATGTGTCATTGCTTGGTGATAGGTCCAGGAAGAAAAAAATTCCCAAGATGAGCGCTCTAAAAACTATAAACGACCACAATAAGCACTTATCAAACTTGATGCCTTTCATACAATTAAATGACTAATCCTAAAGTACAAGAACTTGAGGAAAATCATTCACCGGTAGAGTTGCCCTAAGGGACAGAGCTAGCGTGAGAGCCCTGAGTCAGCTCTACAGGAGAGACGGACGTGTGCAAAAGACTCTCAGCTAGTTTTTCACTTCTAAATGCAGCTGCCAGGGCTGAGAGGGGGACCCACGCAGGTCGGGGCAGGGCGGGAGCCACTCGGCACTGAGCGATGACCCTCTAGAAATGTCTCCCCTTGATGCAAAAGCCCCTGACTGGGAGTCAGCAGGCGAGTCCCTGAAATGCTGGGTCTTGTGTCTCCTTCCCCAGCACAGAGAGGATGGTCCTGGCGTCCCCAGTCCTCACTTTTCCCTTGAAAACCCTTTGGGAATCAGGGCCAGACAGGCACTTGCCAGAACAGAGGCCTCTTTGGAAAGTGGGGTGCAAGGGTCACAATGCTTCTCAGGGGTATCGGGAGGACTGAGTTATTCGAGGCCTCAAAGGGCAGGCTCCCCTTTGCAGCTCTCAAAGTGGGGAAGAGATGGAGCTTTGTGGCAAGTCCATCCAACCGACACATGGGTGTTGCAGGCTGTGATCAGAGGACTGACACGAGCAGCCTCTGGCAAAGCGTGGCCCAGGCTCACCTGGTCGCACAGGCACGTTCAGACCCGTCAGCTAACAAAAGAAATCCCAACCCATGCAGCCACCTGCTCAGATGGTCTGCAGGACCAAGAGCAGAGCTCGGGTTGAGCTCATCTTCATCAGGCCTAGGGGGTAAAGGAGCCCGGGAGACACCTTACCCCGGGACCGGCACCAGAACAGGCACCAGGTGTTTCCAATCACCGAGAAGCTGAGTGCTGCCTTAGACAGTGTCTGCAGTCAGGAGCAAAGGCAGAGGATGAGCCTATCCATCAAGGGGCCTATAATCCAGTGAGAGCCGGTGATGGCTGCTCATACAGACCCACTCCTAGTTTCACACCGGTCACTTGGGTACTGGACACAGGGTGGGGCAACGAGGCCTGGACCTGCTGGGGTCAGGGCAGGGATACGGACTGGCTGGCATCTTCATCGGTCACCAGTGGCTTTCACATATTGCTGATTGGTCTTCCTGGTTGAACTCGTGACGTAAGAGCTTTGCTGCACTGGCTTAAAATTCACAAGTGCAACTGAAACCAGCTATGAATCGTGAGCGTGTAGCTACAAGCAGGCTGGTGGGGAGGGGAGCCCAATGTAAGGGCCCTATCATTTCTGAGGAGTGGCCCTGGGCAAGATGCTCCCCCAGGCTGCCTGCCCCAGCACTGGCCCTGCTGCCACCATGGCATTTGCAGCCTGGGTGCTGAGCTGCCCACATAAAACCCTGCAGGGACTGCTGGGGACAGGCCCCCTTGTCTCTGCAACCAGCTGGATGCTACAAAGGGGTCTCACAGCAGAGCTAGCTATGCGGTGCCATAAAAGCCAGGGTTAAGTGGCTCATTGAATGGAGACCAGCAAGTCCTTTCAGCTACTGTGCCCATTACATGAGCAGGGTTTGCTGGGGAAGCCATGCCAGCATTCCCAATATACACCTGGTATTAGACTCCCCGGATCCAAACCTACAGTTTAAGTCCATGCAACGTGCCGACCTGAACAGCCTAGAATCAGAGAGAATGAGGGTTGGAAAGGACCTCAGGGGGTCACATCTAGTCCTGCCCCCTGCTCCAAGCAGGACCAGCCCCAACTACATCATCCCAGCCAAGGCTTTGTCTACCTGGGTCTTAAACACCTCCCAGGATGGAGACTCCACCACCTCTCTAGGTAACCTATTCCAGATCTTTATTACCCTCCTCATAAGAAAGTTTTCCCTAATATCTAACCCCAACTTCCCTTCCCCTTGTTCTGTCATTTGCCCCCACTGAGAACAGCCCAGCTCCATCCCCTTTACAGCCCCCCTGCAGGGAGTTGGAGGCTGCTATTCAATCCCCCTCAATCTTCCCTTCTGCAGACTAAATCAGCCCAGCTCCCTCAGCCTCTCCCCCAAGTCATGTGCCCCAGCCCCCAAACCATTTTCATTGCCTTCCACTGGACTCTCTCCCATTTTTCTACATCCAGGAAACTGGGAAGCAAATGCGGCTGCTGTTACAGCTGATGCACTGGCCCAGCTGCCATCACTCAGCAGGGGCTGTGTCTATGCCCTGTCCACACTACCAGGGTAGCATCAGCCTGCTGGTTCCTTACAGATGCTGGAATGAGCCTGCAGCCTGACTCACTGGGAAGTCCTTTATTTTCACACTCATTTATGAACAAAAGTCCCTTGACTCCCGCCCTACCCGCTGTGCACCCAAGGCAATGCACAGAAACCCCCATAAACTCCAAGCCAACAACTGGGTGGCTGGTTTCACCCCTTCCCCTAAGGAGCTAGACCCAAGAATGTGGCAGCCCGAAGCTCAGAGACCCCCCCCAGCTTTGGAGCAGAACAGCATCCAGAGCAGGCCCCAGAGCTCACCGTTACCATCGGCATTGCCTTGCTGGCTTCATTTCCACGGACAGTGCTTCTGTAACTACATGCACCATACAAACCATGGGGTAAAGAAGGAAAATGCCCTGAAACATCAGTCTCGTGTCTCCCACTTCAGGATTCAGC